AACAATTAACACACACACACTACACACACACACACACACACACACACACACACACACACACACACACACACACACACACACACACACACACACACACACACACACACACACACACACGTCCCGATTATTCCCCCTATTACTCGTTGTATGAAGGAAATGTCCGATCACAAAGGCGCATTATGTGTGTGTGTATGTGCTCTGCTCAGCTCCGCTGTGTTTGTGTGTATGTTCGGTGTGTTTGTTTGTGTCCAACAACGGCATTTGTTTTCAAATTACCATGAATAGTAATTTACACACATCTGGCAAACTCCATAGGTATGTGGGTGTTCCCAAAAGAAGTTAGTTTAATCTTAATCTCGATGTAGTGCTAAATGCTGTCGGAGTGCACCGGAACGAACGCCCCGGTATGACGTTATTATTGCTGGCAAACAAGCCCAGGGGTCTCACTGACATTTCCGGGGCGTTCGTTCCGGTGCACTCCGACAGCATTTAGCACTACATCGAGNCCTTCCCTTCCTCAGGCCTGGGTGCTGAGGAAACCTTCAGGGTCTGACAGAGCTGCAGCTGCAACTTCTGATCATTTCCTATCTTTGTTGAAAGATTTGAGGATACACACACACACACATTCACGTTAAGAACAGGTTCAGATGAGAGTGGCCCGGTGTGGCTGGACATCTGCTACCCCCCCCTCAGGCTCAGCACTGCTGATTCATGCAGGGCCCCGACTCTCAGAGGCCCCCTTCCAGTACTACAGGGCTTAAGGAACAGGAGATTGGATGGACCCCGGACAATGGGCCAGTGGACAGGCTTATAACGCAATTACTCTCCTTCCTTATTGAATCACTCCACCAGCTACATTTTTGCCGAAGTCAATCGACTATACAGACAAGGTCAAACTGAAGTCTTGTACTTTGGTTTACCCCGACGTGTAATGTTATCAGGGTTGGGTTGTAACGGAATACATGTAACGGCGTTACGTAATCAGAATACAAAAATCAAGTAACTGTATTCAGCTCGCGTTACATTTGAAAAACGAGTAATCTGATTACAGTTACTTTCGTAAACCAGAAGTGAATACATTTTGGATTACTTATTGGAATTATTGGTGGAAAGATTTCCTCACAATATTTAATATTCATTATTAAAGGTACAGCCGAATCATCACAGCGCACAAAAACTTTTACCGCCGCAGATGGACCAAAAAAGGGAGCGTTTGAAAAAAAAGGGGCGGGTCCGCTCAGTGAAACAATAACAAAGAAACATGGAGGAACAAAAGTCTGCGTTTAAGTCGTGTGTTGTAGAGGTGTGTGTGGTTAAAACACATCAGCCTGCGGTCGCCCTTTAGCCTTATGATTCTGAAGGTAAACACAGCGAAGGCGGTGCGTGAAAGGCACTGCGCGCTCCTCTTCTCAGAGACTGAGTTAACCCTCCCGCTGCCTTCCTGGTGCTGCAGAGATTTCATGAAGTGAAGGAGGTTTTCCTTCTATAAAACAGCTGTGGGCAGCAGATACTGTGAGTGTCACGGACATGAATTCATAGATCAAGGCAGACTGGTGCACACACTCTCTGTTTTGCCGATCCGGTGCTTAAACAAATATAGCTCTACACCCCTGGCTGACATGTCGTTAAAATGAAGTCCGAGTTCGACATTTTTAATTCATGTCCTGCCAACACTGGCAGGACAGAAGGCGACACGCCCGTTCTAAGCCGTGTCCCTCACTCCTCACATCCCAAGCTGCATCCCCAAAAACTTTATTATGTTGTTGCATCGTTTCAGATGTTATGTTTGTGTTGTGCTCTTGATAAGCCATTAAAACAGTAAAAACACATTCAGTTTCCTTTTGCTTTTTGAGTCTCCTGTTCACCAAACATACCATCTGTGATGGAAAAAGAAAGTAATCTAAAAGTAATCTGATTACTTTTTTAAGACGCGTAACTGTAACTGTATTCGGATTACTTTCAGAGCCATGTATTCAGTAATCAGTAACTGATTACATTTACAAAGTAACCCTCCCAACCCTGAATGTAATGCTGTACTTTTGAGCAGTACACATTAACTTTCAAAGTGCCCATTCTTGAATCCACAATATTTACAGTTGCAACCTGATAGTGTTGAGCACGTCCACATCCTTCAGCAAATAACAAGTGCACTTTAAGCCACTAATGTAGCCTCATTACTCCCCAAGGTCAAAGTGATTCATAATAAGTCCAGTGTAACATTAGAGCCCTGCTGTCTGTCAGAAAGCTGCAGTCAGATGGGTGTGGCGTGTTGAAGGGAGAGCTGTGGTCTGTCCACACTAAGCTGAGTTATGAAGTTGAACTCAGCTGTGCATTTAGATATATTCAGCACTGTTGCTCAATTATGCAGAAACAAAGACTTACACAGCAATACATCATTTGAAACAAGAGCTTCAAGTTTTTGATAGTGTTTCAAAATAACATGATTAACATTGACCTTAAACCTTTCATACATGGACTATAGTTCAGTTCTGATGGATGTCTGGGGAAATGGTTCATTGAATTTAAAGAGAAAAGTGCCAAAGAAAATGTGAAATAAGCCATGGAGGCCTGATCCTCGCTCGTTCATTTGGAGCGATTGGGATTGTATGGGAAAAAAGTAATGAAGCAAAGCTTATAGGTCCAGTCCTCTCATTTCTTGTTTCATTGGCAATATGGAAGCATGAAACACAAGAGGTGGAGAGAGCTCACACACACACACACACTCACACTCACACACACACACACACACACACACACACACACACACACACACACACACACACACACACACACACACACACACACACACAAACCTTTTGAAGGTATGGCTAGGCATGTGAAGTGGTGTACTGTATTCTTTATGAGCAGCAGTTTCCTGTGTGTAGCTGTGTGTGCCTGTGAACAGTTGGTGCACAGCTGTATTCATGATATACACTTGTGTTGCATACACTGATGATATTCAACTTATGTATTTTTCACATTGTATCCCGCCCACTATCATTTCTAACTAGAGACACACAATATATTTGTTATGGTCATTGTGATGTCTTGGGCGTTAAACACATTGTGAAAGACTGAGATATTGCAGTTAGATAATTGAAAGAAGTGGAACTAGTGTGGGTAGAAAATAACTATAAAATATAACTGCCATTCTTTATTGTATTGGGCTTTTGTGTTTTGTTAATGTAATGTAATGTATTTAATAATAATAATGTCAGTGTTTTATTCTATCTTTGCCGTTCACTACAATCAGCAGAAAGGCAGAACTAAGCTCTTTAATATCTGCGTAAATATTACTGTTGACAAAACAATGTTTTTGCAAGGAACTAATTATGAACTTGAATCAATGATTTCCTTCCTTTTCCTTTTAGGGGCAGAAGACCGAAGCAGAGAGGTACTATCTGAGAGCTATTCAGCTTGACCCAACTAAAGGAAACGGCTACATGCACTATGGTGAGAACAGAAATCAAAGGTTTCCCTTGCAAAACAATTCCACCAAAGCCTGTTGGACACATTCAATCATAAATATATAGTATGCATGACCTCAAAATGTGTGTGGTTGTCAGAGCTATGTGAATGCAATGTGAACTCCTTTTCAAACAACCTGCCTGATTGCCTGATCCAAACATCTGTGCAGCCTTTAAGCTTTACTGTAATGCCCAGGCTTTGCTGCAGTAAGCCGTACTCAGGTAATCATTAGGGTCTTTAGACTCTTATCCCAGACCTATACTTTGTAATGTCAGACGCAGTCATTAAACGTACCAGGTCCTCTTAAAACTTAAAACCGCCCTGGTCTAAGCTCATAGCTCATGTAACCTGATAAGGGTTTTTGAAAATAATCAAATCAGTGTGGTCATTATTTGGAAGTGTCAAATACCGTGCGGTTTTTTATACATTTTCTCAAACATATTATCTTTCATCCAATCCTGTCCTTAGTGTTGGTATCAGTGCTAGGAGTGTTTGAGATATTGCAGATGGTGCAAACATGCAAACATGCATGTATGCTATCTGAGTGTGGGGAAAGGATCAGAGTACACTGTTTACCATTGGGGAGATAGAGTACAACATGATACTGAGTTCCGCTTGTGCTGCTGTTAATGCAGTTCTTCATATCATCCTGCAGCTCCATGTGGCTATCATCAGGATATTCATTCACAGGAAATGAAATCCGTCCCAAAGCACCATTCTGCGTCTCCTCTTCCTTATCTCTCTCCGTCCCTCCTGGTGCTTTCTCTAGATATCTCTGCGTTCTAGTTCAGCCTGGTCCCTGGCGAGGCATTCCTTGCTGTCTATGGACCAAGCTGTTTCCCCTTAAACTATTTTTCTCCCTCTCTGGCTATTTTTCTTTTTTCAATGTTATCTTGTAGCTTCATGCTATAGGTGATGTTTGTTTGGGCCGGTCCCCTCCTTTATCGCACATCTGGCTGCTCTAGCTATCCTGGGTTCACTGGATGAGCTCCAGGTGTGAGTGTGTAAGGAGTGATGCTATCTGTCCACATTATAACACAACGGATGCACACAAAACACACACGTGAGAGAGAGTGCGAGGAAGCGAGGACACAGAGGGTGATAGCTAAGAAGCGGCCCCCTTTCCTGCCATTGTTCACAGTCCTTCATTTTATTGCAAACTGTCCCTAATATGACCCGCTTCTAATGACTCTGCTTTGGTGTCCAATGCCTTGTTTTTGGCATGTGAATTCAGTTGAATTTGAGTTCAAGAAAAGACAACAGACGCACTCTAATGAATACTCCCCTAATTCCCCTTCCACTTCCTACACTCGGTAACATCTGCAGCCGAGATCTGCTGTTCATTTATATCAGTGAGGAGGCAGAGGATTGTGGGTGCAGCACCAGGTGGCCGGACTCCCACAGGAGAGCACATGAAATACCTCCATCTCATCTGTGCTCTCAAACATCATCCAACAAGACAAAGAATCCTTCCACATTTCTCTCACTGACTCTCCTTGTTGAATTTCCTGTATTACTCTACAAACTGTTTATTTCACCCCATTCATCTTCCTTTGCCTCTCAGCAGATGTCCACCTGTCTGTCAGAGCTTCTCCAAACGCTTTTCCAATTGTTCTTATATCCTTGCGTTGTTTGTTGAGCGTGTTAGCATGCTTACATTTTCTGATTATTAATTCATTCATTGTCAAGGGATCCCCAATATATTGCAGTCATGGATGACTTGCTATGAAATGAGATACTGACATTAAAAAGTGGTTCAAATGTCAATTATAACCAAAAGAGTGGCCCGTTATGGTGGCCCAGGAAATAAATTCATGGGATAACCAAAACCAGGAGACATCTAGGAACCATGAAAATCTGTAAAAACCTTTGTGGCCATTCATCCAAAAGATGTAAACATACTTTAATGGTTAATTGACCTGCTTGTGATGCTCCAAAAAAGTGTTATTACTTCATTCATAAGTGTTCCCCTTCTTGGCACCCTGGATATGGATGCCAAATTGAATGGCAATCCATACAAAAGTTATCAAGATATTTTAATATAAAAACGTGAATGTTAACCTGTTGTTGGCCATAGGGGATCAATTGGGGTTCACCCTCTGGGGAACATGAATATCTTTACAAAAATCAACATTAAGTGATCCAATAGTTGGACAAACCAACCAATAGAACGACACTGCCTTTCATAACGACATACCATGGGTACAAATCATGAAAAATATTTTTTTTTTCTACCCAAAAATATAAATGCTCTTTCTCCGTCGTCCCCTCTCTGCAGGTCAGTTCCTCCTGGAGCAGTCTCGTCTCAGCGAAGCGGCGGAGATGGCGGAGCGAGCGGCGGAGCTGGACCAGTCAGAGTTTGATGTGGTCTTCAGCGCGGCTCACATGCTCAGGTTGGCTAAACTGCTGACTCTGCAAGTGGAGTTTCCCCTCTTGGAAAAAAAGCATACAGTACAGAAAGTCTAATGATCGTGTATGTCAAGAAATGTTGAGGTTTTTACAGACTTTGTGGCTTTATTCTTAACCACTGCCATTTAATAGGCACCCTTGAAATATGAATTATACTGATGTTATAGAATAGTAAATGTCCTCTCTATGAAAATTGTTGCCATAAAAGCTGTTATGTATTACATATATAAACAGCAGTACCGTTTCAGTCCATCATAGTGATGTCTGAGTCCAAGTCTTGTAAAGATGCCATCAGAGAATTTTCCGTACAAAATTGGCAAGCACTTGAATAGACAGCGTATAAGTGTTAAAACGTGTTATTCCCAGCAACTCAAGGAAATATTGGCGCGATGTGACTTCATTCCTTTTTGCTCTATATATCTGGAAAAGTCATTACTACTCTCTAGCATTCATCTCAATGCAGCAGCACAGAGGATTTGTTCAAGTTGAAAGTCTCAGGGTTTGGCTAGAGTTTCGTTTAGTAAGTGAAAATCTAAATGGCAGATCATTCTGCTCTAAGTGGTTATTTTCATGTGAGGCTGACCGTGACATAAATCCAGACCCATAAGGGTTAGAGTTTGATGGATGAGACACACTGTCAGCAGCTGGAAACTGAAACTGCTGATAATAAATGTGACCAACAGATATTGACTGACTATGAGAAGGAATCAAATAAAGATCAGGGATCAGTGTGAGGAATCATTTTACTTTAAATGTTTGTTTACCAAGTCACTAACAAAGCATTTGTTATTTAACTGTTTTGGATAAAACCCTAATGCCTCTTTTTCTCACCTATTCTACTTTCTTAAAAAATTACTTTTTATGAAATGTTCCAAAACTGTCACTATATCCTGCCAGTAGTGCATGAGACAGATCATCTATATAAAAAGCATTTGCCTCACTCTTTTCTATAAATAGGATAAACAATAACATCATCTTGATGAATCTGGGATCTGGGATCAGTGCTGCCAAGTTGGACAGTTTAATTGTTTTTTAACAAGCAGTGATTGACAATGAGACTCCTTGTGTGTGCTGTATCTTAAAAAAGGCTCCAGGAGCACAAGGATGAGGCAGAGGAACCCGATTGTTCACAGATTGTCAGTCTCATGAACTGCTGTCAGGATGTAGTAACAGTTTAAGCAAACATGAGAACATTTTATCTTTTATCTAAAAGGTAGCTGCAGCTTAAAACCAGACTTCCTGAATCTTCATTTACATTTCCTAAAGAAACAAAGACAAAGGAAGCACACTAAGATGATGACTGATAGCTGGTCATCAACTCCAGTGAACCCCTGATAAAGTTTTGCATGAGGGTTCTTAAGGCATCATTTACTTGAGTCACAGTCTTATAAATATTAATCACCATGTCGGGAAACAATGGTTTCCTTGACTTTATTAACTTTGGCACTGCAAAGTCCGGTTCTTGTGCTATTTGGATCCAATGTAATGTATGGATCAGATTAACTGTTGAGTCCTCATGAAACCACCTGTACGATGCAAGGGCAGACTCTCTTGGTTAAGTAGTTCTTGCATTATGGAATAGTCTCTCCTCATGATACACTGATAAATAATAAGTAAAGCATTGGCAGTAAGCTGGTCGTAGTAGTAAAGTAAGTCCTAGATTTTGGGCATATTAGATTTTTTGTAATCTAAATGTTCCAAGTTGAAGATGCAGTATATTAAATGATCCATTAACCCTCCTGTCGCGTTCGTTTTTCTCCTTTACTTTGGTGTTCCCGGTCAAGTCTGACCCGTCGGTTTTATCTGCTCTTACATTAACATAAGAAGCATTTATCATCACCACATTTCCTTGAAAATCAAATCAAATCAAGTTTTATTTATATAGCACATTTAAAAGCGATTACATGTGCTGTACATGTAATAAAAACACATTACTACAATCAAAATAAAAGACAATAATTTACAACAGAAATATAAAAAACACAGGGAAATGTCAGGAGTCGTGCTCCGCTCTGACTAGAAGGCCAGAGAGAAGAAGTGTTTTTTAGTGAGGATTTAAAAACCCCTAGTGTCTGGGCCAGCTGCTGCGAAGGCTCGGTGACCTCGGGTTTTGAGCCTGGTCTTAAGCACTATCAGCAACAGCTGGTCAGCAGACCTTAAAGCTCTGGCTGGGGTTTAGCGATGGAGGAGTTCTGCTATATATGCTTTAACACCCTTTTAAGCTGTCAACAATGTCTAAGACTACTGGTTCACATGAATGACTGCAGTGAATATACAAAGAATAGACACTGAAAATCTATTCCAAAATGAACATGTTTGTCAATCTTGGTGTGTCCTATCTGACGGATGAACATAATCTATGGTTACTCATTAATTTACTTGTGAGGTCATTTTTGACAGGGGACATCATGGCCGTTACATACTTGAATAAACCACGGAGAATTCACTGAAAGTGGTGATCAACTATTTGATATGTTCAAATGCCTGGACGGTATCATAAGGTCTTGAAGCAATCTGATGTAAATTACAATATTTATGACTGATCAAAGTAGTGAATTGGTCAGATCAACCAGAACACGACAGGTGGGTCACCACCGAGGCATTTTTAGAGCAAATACAGAGTCATGTATACCAGGGGTTCCCAACCTTTATTGTGCCAAGGACCGCCAGATACATTAAAAGAAAATTGCAGACCGGTTGTCAATTTTAGCTGATTTTTATATTTACTCACCAGCAGGTGGCAACAGAGGCTAATTGTATTTAACAGCCTGAAGAAATACCAATATGCATCCAAAACATATTAATAACGTTTAAAACCAGGATACAATTAAAACAAAAAATTAGGACCGCTTTACAAATATTAATATAATATATAATATAATATAGCCTAATATACAGTGGGGCAAAAAAGTATTTAGTCAGCCACCAATTGTGCAAGTTCTCCCAGTTAAAAAGATGAGAGGCCTGTAATTTTCATCCTAGGTATACCTCAACTATGAGAGACAAAATGAGAAAAAAAAATCCAGAAAATCACATTGTCTGATTTTTAATGAATGAATTGGTAAATTCCTCTGTAAAATAAGTATTTGATCACCTACAAACAAACAAGATTTCTGGCTCTCACAGACCTGTAACTTCTTCTTTAAGAGCTTCCTCTTTCTCCTCTGTCTTCCACTTGTTAACTGTATTAATGGCACCTGTTTGAACTCGTTATCAGTATAAAAGACACCTCCCATCCCAGAACCACACGGGGGGATCTAGTCAATGACCTGCAGAGAGCTGGGACCGAAGTAACAAAGGCTACCATCAGTAACACACTACGCCGCCAGGGACTCAAATCCTGCAGTGCCAGACGTGTCCCCCTGCTTAAGCCAGTAAATGTCCAGGCCCATCTGAAGTTTGCTAGAGAGCATTTAGATGATCCAGAAGAGGATTGGGAGAATGCCATATGGTCAGATGAAACCAAAATATAACTTTTTGGTAAAAACTCAACTAGACGTGTTTGGAGGAGAAAGAATGCTGAGTTGCATCCAAAGAACACCATACCTACTGTGAAACATGGGGGTGGAAACATCATGCTTTGGGACTGTTTTTCTGCAAAGGGACCAGGACGACTGATCCGTGTAAAGGAAAGAATGAATGGGGCCATGTATCGTGAGATTTTGAGTGACAACCTCCTTCCATCAGCAAGGGCATTGAAGATGAAACGTGGCTGGGTCTTTCAGCATGACAATGATTCCAAACACACCGCCCGGGCAACGAAGGAGTGGCTTCGTAAGAAGCAGTTCAAGGTCCTGGAGTGGCCTAGCCAGTGTCCAGATCTCAACCCCATAGAAAATCTTTGGAGGGAGTTGAAAGTCTGTGTTGCCCAGCGACAGCCCCAAAACATCACTGCTCTAGAGGAGATCTGCATGGAGGAATGGGCCAAAATACCAGCAACNATGATCAGAAGTTGCAGCTGCAGCTCTGTCAGACCCTGAAGGTTTCCTCAGCACCCAGGCCTGAGGAAGGGAAGGGGGCCAACATCTCTGGGGGGGGGGGAGACAGTTCAACTCCCACATCTAAACTTGACTCAGCTGTGAACACATCTGTAAGCGCTGTTTTTGTTTTTGTGGAGTGGTCGAGGTGGTTGGAGGGCGGGAAGTGGGAGCTTTTCCTGTACAGAACAAACATCGGAGGGGGGGGGGGGAGAAAGGTAACGTTTGGGAGAAGTTAGGCAAACTTTTGTGCCCTTGATGTCTCCTGGGAGGGATGGAAAACACAGACAAATCTGGAACTCATCCAAACACAGAGAGATAGCTTTCATCCAGACGCACTCTCCACGTCTGCGACCTTCAGAAGAGAAATTATGGAGCTATATATATATTTGTTAAGCTATTTGGCATCAGTCCTAGATCAGGGTCGATCCAAGGCCATCGAAAAGGTATTAATCGCTTCTTTCATTTCTTCTTTCTCACTGTGTAATCCTCTTTTCATGCAACTAGTCTGGCTAGAGGTCGAACACTATATTCATGAATGCATCACAACTCCTCTAGCTGACTTCTGATCGGGGGGGAGAGCTTGTTAAGCATGCAGCTCTCAGAGTGGGGAGCTCACACCTCATAACAATCATCACAGTTCTCCAGGCTCTGCAGAACAATCGATAGCGTGGGTCCGCCTCGCTCCTATAAGTCGCTCAATATGAATTATTCATTTCTCTTCAGGTCCCGTTTAATTAAACTCTGCCAAGTAGTTAACCACTGCAGTCATTTCAGAGCCTGGGCTCACCTCATGATTCTGTGTGTGTGTGTGTGTGTGTGTGTGTGTGTGTGTGTGTGTGTGTGTGTGTGTGTGTGTGTGTGTGTGTGTGTGTGTGTGTGTGCTCACCATGATGGACAGCAGTTTGCCGTACGTCAGGTGGGCAGGGATGTGGTCCGGCTTCACCCTGAGGGACTCTCTGTACCAGTGGCCTGCTTCCTCCAGCCGGCTCAGCCTCATGTATGCCTCTCCTGAAAACAACACAGAGCAGGAGGCAAGATTAGTGTTTTACGTAGGACATTAAATGAATAGCCTTAGGCACAATATGCACATTTAATATATAGTCCCCGTATAGGGGACGTATCAGATATTAAACTGATAAGAACAGATACTACACTTGATCTTAGCCAAAAGGCTGAGAAGCGATGACCCTTAAAGGTGACATGTCATGCTTTTCCGGTTATTACCCGTCCCCTTGTGTGTTATGAAGGTTTTTCTCCATGTAAACGGTGTGCAGAGTCAAAACCCTTACGGCCCGTCCACACAGCGGCATGCGTTGAAGCTTCAACGCTTTTGCCCATTCACTTTGAATGGGGTGACGTCACGCTTCGCCGAACTGCATTGTGGGGAGCGTAGCTACGCGTTGCTCGCGTCAAAAGTTGAACCATGTTCAAATTTTGAAGCTTCAACGGAAGCGTCAGCCAATCAAATCCCGTTTATGAAAATCTGCCAGTACAACTGCTAGCCAATCAAACCGCGTGTATGCTGCGAGTAGTGAATCACCCGGTGCTGTATGATCAGTCTCTGTTCATCTAAATTCTCTCTGCAGACCCATTCTCACAGCGTTTATCAATCTATAAAACTTTTTCTTACTCAATATCAAGCCACTTGATATTGAGTAAGAAAAAGTTTTATAGATTGATAAACGCTGTGAGAATGGGTCTGCAGAGAGAATTTAGATGAACAGAGACTGATCATACAGCNATAGACGCATTTGTTTGTCTTTTTGCATGTTAGAAACGAGTTGGCGACACTTACGGAGCGTCCACACAGCAGCGTGCGTTGACGCTTGGCGGTGGGCGTGTCTGAAGCTCGAGTCAACGCGAGCAACGCGACCCACAACCAATCACATGAATCTCCCGCCCCCGACATACAAAGCAAAATGCTAGCATTCCATGCTAGCTATATATACTGTNATTCTCTCTGCAGACCCATTCTCACAGCGTTTATCAATCTATAAAACTTTTTCTTACTCAATATCAAGCCACACTTATTGTTTTTATTTCGGCTGTGACTTTGTGTGTGTTCAGGTTGAGTTTGGCTGTGTTTGGCTGTGTATCGCTAAACAAGGAAATCACACCTCCACGGAGCTCAGCGCGATTCACAACGTACCGACCAATCAGAGCACACTGGGCTCACAGGGAGGGGGGGGGGTGTGGGAGCTGCAGCGAGCCGTTTAGTGGAGAAAGTGAATACTGCTGAATACACATACTTTACAGAGATGCTGTTTGCGAAACCAATTTGAGTTTCGAAAATTGCACAGTATTTTTCTATTTTAGTATACCTCAACAATGGAATTATGATCAGTGGAAATGGCCATGACACCTCTCCTTTAACGTTTGCTGCGGGAGACGGACTCGTTGCGCAGTCACCGCCGGTCTTGGTGCGGCTCTTTTGACCTGGTGTAACAGAGGCGCTGCGTAACTGGGTTAACCCTAGCCCTAACACTTTACTTGTCTTTCACAAACTCAGAATGCTCAGCCAAACGGCCGAGCCTACCAAAAATAGGTTGAACTCGTGTTGTGGAGGCCGTCCTCGAGAACAGACAGCACCGTAGTTGTCCCAGTCCAAACCCTCGCGGTGACCATGACTCGGCTTTTCCACATCTCAGGCCACACCCTTTCCCCCAGCTGCGCTAGAGCTGCGCTAGAGCTGTGCTAGCATGGTTCGTGGCTCTCACCTGTGGCTTCTTTGGCATTAAGTCCAAAAAAGACCCCTGCTGCTGTGCTTCATTATTGGTGCACAGTTTCCTCTGGGTTTAAGATACAATTAGATGGACCTTTAGATCAATTGAAGAGTTATAGCAATAACAGAAAAAGACAGAGACCCAAATAGTACACAAGGGATAATACAATTAAATAAGAATAAACATGGAGTAATCATTTGTATAGAATAACAAAAAGGACATGATTTATCTCTATAAACAGATATCGGCATAAATGCACTGGAAACGGATGTTGTGAAATTCATCACTGAAACTCAAGCCAAGCATGTCCGAGGTCTACATTGTTTTACGATATGAAATACTTATGTTCCCTAATTAAAATAAATGTAAAATACATTTTAAAGCATATCGCACCAAATTTTGAATCCTGCTATTTCAGTTTCTGCATTTAAAACAAAACGGGGGACTTACCCATCATGTTGAAAAGGCTGTGTGGTGCAAACTGTTTGGGCATTTTCTGTACCGCTTCCCTATAAATAGACAGGGCCTCCTGGGATGGAAGAACAAAGTTAGCAAGTCCATTGTTTGCATTGCATCAGCATAATACCCTTTTGTAATTGATGAGGGTCGATTACTTTGGGCAAAACAGACTTTCCTAGTTTCACATAGCACAACAATTAAAAGTTAGGTTTTAAAGCTGAAACGAAAACCTAGACGCACTGACCTCCTGATGGCCCTGTTCGTGGAGCAGTTTTCCCAGGTTGTACAGGCAGCTGGTGACGGAGCTCTTGTGGGCGTGGGGGTCCTTTAAGTTCTCATCAGGGATGTCAGCACAGGTCAGAAAGGTGCGCTTGGCCTCCTCCAGGCTGCCCTGGTTCATCAGGATGATCCCCGTGTTCAAGTAGGCTGCTGTGAGGAGGGGGGGAAAGTCATTATAACCTGCCGTCCAAATGATATTTTAATAGGCAGACTAACAAAAGACAACAACTACATTTCTTTTAGGAAAACCAAAATTGTTTATTCTATATAACGCCAACTTTTTTAGATCTGTTTTGATATATGTGATATAACCATCATTGGTTGAGTATTTTATATTGGAAAGATGAGGGGGATCTACCAATAAAGTACTGTAAGATGGCGCTGCAATAATGAAGCAAAAAGAAGACAGGCCAGAGGTCAAAGGCAGATTAGACTACTCAAATCATAGTAGGTAAGAAATCGAAATAAATTAGTCTAAAAGGACATTTGAAGATAACGTATTAACTTGAAAAGTCTAGAATCTGCCCTTCCCTCCCTCATAAAGTGTCCTTGGTACAGTAAAAGACGGTCCCTCATCTCACATGCAAGCACTCGACTGTGAGATTGAATCTCATCGTTTCACCGTCAGGCTGAAATAGCCTGAATATGGCCCTCCAAATGAGCATGTAGAAAAAAACCTGTCTCATTCAGCTTTGAAATTGGGCCATGATGCTCATCCGATTACGGAACTTCATCTCACTTATAATTAATAATGAATGGCACTATGTACATCCACTGCTACAAAAAGAGACTCTTATTTTAGGTTTACTTACATGCCAGTGTTGGCCGACTCCCAATGGCCAGTTTGTAATAATGCAGCGCTTCAGAAAGACGTTCGTTCTCCTGCAGCAGCAAGCCACTGATAGACCAGAGAAAAGCAACAATGTGAGACATAGTACACCAACAGCTGCATAAACAAGAATGTGCATTGTTTTTTTAAATCAGGGAAGGTTTACCCAAAATAATTGCAAAGTGATGAATGTAATAAATCAACAACACTGGAGCAGCTTCTATTTCCCTTATCAAACATATCAATACATGAACTGCAATATACCAAACCATCTGTGGCGGAGGAAGAACTCCGATTTGTTACTTGAGTAAAAGTAGCAAGTTTAAAAGTACTTTGTTACAAGTAAAAGTCTTGCATTCAAAGTGTTACTCAAGTAAAAGTACAAAAGTATCGGCAACCAAATATACTCTAAGAAACAAAAGTAAAAGTACTCATTATGCGTAATGGCCCAGAATAAAAAATGGTGCATATACTGGGTTACCATTATATGTTTTTATCAAAACTTGTCAATATAGAGCTAATTTGAATAACGCTAAATAATGCTGCTGGTTATCTTAACCTATAATGTCAAAGTTTATTAAATAATTGATTTAAATGTTGTATTAGCTATTAACCTGCACCTTAAGAGTAACTACAAATCTGTCAAATAAATGTAGTAGATTCAAAAGTACAATATTGGGTTCTAAAATCTAGTGGAGTAGAAGTATAAAGTAGCATAAACTGTGGATACTCAGGTAAAGTACCTCAACCTTTTACTTGAGTACATGTACTTTGTTACTATCCATCACTGCCAACCATCCATCACATTCAGATAGAACCTCAGCTTCACAGAGGGCAGGAACACCTTCCTTTGGTCTCCCTGCTCCCTCCCTATGTTGCTCTGCCAGCTTCCTGACAGCTGAAACTTGAGAGGAGCCGAGGAGAGAGAGTCAGCATGAGGGTCTGCCACCTTCACTCTGTGCTGCAGGATTGGAAGTGGCTTTGTGTCCTCCCCCAGGCCCCACAAACCAAGGCTAATCAAATCAGAAGCAGAAGGTACAAAGAGCCACCTGGGAAGTTATTTCCTCTTTGTTACACTCTTGCATCACGCTTAGCTCTGAGTCTCACTCTCCTCTCTCATGGTTTGGATCTATTTTCTTTAAGTTCTTCCTGTCTGTCAGTACTCCTTTTTCCCTTTTTTTCTTTTTGTTCTGCCTCTGCAATCTCAAGTGATGGATGGCAGGAATCTGAATCTTTTCGTGTCACGCCTTTGCAAACAGGAGGGAGGTGGGGGGGGGGCTCTTTAACACTCACAGGTTATACAGCATGTCAGCCATGTTCCCTCGGTGGTGCAAAGCGTTTCTGTACGCCTTCTCCGCCTCCGCCATCTTGCCCTGGTTCTTTAGAACGTTCCCCAAGTTTCCCCAGGCTGCAGGAGACATGTGTCAGTGACAGGGTTGCACTTTCAGGTAAACACACTTTTGGTATTGATTTAAAATAAATACATAGCATAAAATGAACTTTGAATCAGTGGATTCGAAGAAGATGCCATCTCCTCATTCAATGTTATGTCTTTAAATCAGCTTTCCATACTCTGTGCTGTGCTGAGATTTCAGTTGGTACTAATATTGATGTTAGATAAGTATTTTATTCATCATTTATTGTCACAGCAGCAGTGTTGTCAAGCATTTCACGATTTAAAAATATTTAAAAGATAGAAATATTAAAAAATGTTTTTACATTAGCAGCAAGTATATACAAATGCACAGTAAAAAGGACATATATCACTAGGGCAGCCGTTCCCAAACTGTTTCAACTGAGGGCCGACTTCAGAATCTAAAAAAATGTTCGCGGACCACATTCAATGATAGACAATACGGAGGCTAAATCAAGTTCTGATTGGTCAATTCAGAACATGTGACACGTTGTTAATCCAGTAGTACAGACCGCTGTCAAGGACTGTAATGACCGTTGCAAAGGAGGATCAAGAACGAGAAAGAAAAAGAGGTTCAAATAAAAAGAAAAATCGAATAATGAAATGTTTCCACGCAAATCATAATGTTTTGCAAATTATTTGGCGACCCACTTGCAATGCGTTCGCGGCCCACAGGTTGGGAACCACTGCACTAGAGTGTCTGAATAATACACACTATAAAGAAAATATTTAATAAATTGAATACCCTACAATATACAAACTGACTAAGCTAAAGAAATATATTGAAATATACCACTGACACATATTGGCATTGGATACACATCCCTAATCTGAGTTTCCTAACCTACCTTTAGCGGGGTTGGCACCGATCCCTGACCTGTAGAGATTCTCCTCGTTGCTCCAGTCCCTGTTTCTCTGAACCGTCCTGAGTCCGTTCAGCAGGACTAGTCCCACACAGAGACCCATCAGTAAGGCCCTGCAGCCTTTAGTCCTCAGTCTGATGTGTAATGTCCGTGCACCAGCAGCAACCAGTAAACAGAAGCCCATACTGGGGATGTACAGCACCCTCTCTGCAATCACAAAACCTACATAAAAGAAGAGGTTTGTGGCGGGGATGAAAGGCAATGAGAGCATGCCTAATGAAAACAGGACTAGGTGTTGTGTGGGGGGGAGGGTCGCCCGTGGGGGGCATTGGTGGGGTCCTGCTGACCCGTTCAGGGTGGTCTTTGGCGGCCCCTGATCTGTGTTATGGTTCGTGTCGGGGGCATGGCAGCCATTCCCATTAGTGATTGATTTCCCATTAGCCACATAGGGTTTCCCATTGGTCTCCTTGGCTTTAGAGGTGGGGCCCTGAAGGCCAAACAAACCCAGGAGGACGAATCCACCATAAAAGGCAACAGTGTGAAGGTTCCTCCAGTCAGCCAAGGACCTGACCAAGGGCACAGCGTCCATGGACCAATCAAAACTTAGCCTGTCGGGGCAGAGCAGCAGCCAGGCGTTGGCGACCGGCAGGTGGAGGAACGTCAGGGTTCGAGTGAGGAAGTGTGGCGAGTCAGCGGCCGGGTTGTCAGAGTTGGAGAAGTTGGGAGGCTTGTTGCCCATCCAGTAGAGGCGAGCCGACAGCAGGATGACCCCCCAGGAAGCAAGCACGCAGAGGCTCAGCAACACACTGACGTTCTTCTTCTGGAAGAGAGGAGCGGAAAAGAGTCATGCTACAGGACAACACCTAAATCAACCGGTCAGTGCAGAAAAGCTCAGTCAAAGACACACTATTTTCCTACTGAATTAATTCAACATTTCAGAACGCTATTTTAATACCAAGTTATCAGTCGGGATCAAACGTTTTTTAAGCAGTTTGTAGTATGTAGCCGATGATGGAAAAGAGCAGGGAGAATAAAGTCTTATTTTACCTGCCTCTTACCCAAAAATAGATGGTTTGTCAATCACAGCTGCTTACAACCAATACTTACAGTAACATGAAACCAAAAACAAAACCAAACATAACAATCTACGGTCAGTGAAACAGGTTACCTGACATCTTCATACTGTCTAATTATTCTCTCTTTATACATGTTCTTTAAGATGTCTCTCAAGAGGTCATACATAGATCTCTTTGAATCATCTAGTAAACAATTCCACAGTTCAACTCCAACTACAGAGATCAGTTTTAAAGTATTCAATGCAAACTGATTCTTAAAGTTACATTTCCTTCTATGATGCTCATCCTCTTGATTTAAAACAAATTCGTTTTGTATATTTTCTGGTAGTATTCTGCTTTATGCATAACGAAAGAAGTCTGTAATTCAATTCAATCTTTAAAATTGAACAGCCTTAAATCAAATGTCTCCTCATTTTTCAGTCTTTCGGCATGAGCTATAAGGGTTTGACTTGTAAAGCAACCATTGGAAAAAGCTTCCAAATCTATTTTCCCACTATCCCATATAGAAAGATAAACTATGCAAAGCGATGGCTGGAATGTTTTTGGTAGCTGCCTGGGGCATAAACCGCACTCGTGTAAAATCAAACAGTCCTTTGTAACACAAGCATACTTTTTCAAATAAAAAAATGCACCATAGCCAGAAACAACACAGCTCTGTTTACATGAATATAGTGAAATATGACCAATTCAAACTGGTGACAGACACTTTGGGATTTGGACAGATGGACGCTCTAATCAATGTCACTTCTGGTAAGCACCAACAAGACTGTTGACATTGAGGGATCATCTTGTAATGATGGGATGTGTCATATTAAATTGGAGGAAGCCGCATTCACTTGGATTTACATGTGATTTACATATTTTCAAATGTCTTTTATTTAGGCTAATGTAAAGGCAAGGCACATTTATTTATATAGTACCTTTCAACACAAGGCAATTCAAAGTGCTTTACAGAAATGAAAAACATTAGGAAATAGTGCAGAATGGCATTTAAAAACAGTGTACAGAGTACTCAACACTATTTCTATCATAAGAGCAAACCACACTCCCCTCTGTTTTGACCTTATTGAGGTCAACTTTGAAATCATTTGAAGCACGAGAGGCTTTCCTCTAAGGCTTTGCTTGTTGCCTGTCAGATTGCAGTGAGTGTGACTGCTAATCAGCTTAGGGCTCATTGTGTTGGTATGTAGATGCTGTTTACATCTCATAAGAGCATTCATTCTGCAGCATGATCACCATCAGCTCCTCTGTCACGCAACACCTTTGACCTGACAGCCACACGCCAACCTCAACTCAATGCTTATCTTGAAAATTATGTTCAAAGACTTGATGATTGAAAGTTAGGAGGAAACAAAAAGGACATTTGGTTGGTGACCCTGGTTTGAGAGAAATAGAAAGGCGCGATGAGAGCGGGACGTGTTCTGTCTGTCAGATGCTCTGATGTTCCTTAAATACCACATTTTTATATGGAGCTTTCTGAAATCAGTTACTGCTTGAATGTCATTTAGTGTGTGTTTATGCCAACACTCTGTAAATCTGATTGAATTTCTTTCATTTAATAAACTGAAATGTCATGTAGGCTTCTTGACAGAGACAGCCTGGCGCATTCCTGACCAACAAGTGCCTGTAATTCATGTTCTTAACAGAGTTTTCCTAATGGAATAAATACTACATAACATCATGATTGATGACACAGAGATGCTGCTCTCTTCCCACTTTCTGAGCAGCGCTGATATGGACGATGAACTCTTTTTGAGGGGGGAGTTGGATCTGTGTGTGTGCGAACTCAATTGCATGCTTCTATAATATAAATAATACTGTTTGGACAGAGTCGTAATGTCAATATTGGCTTTAATACGTTCTGATCACCATCAGAGCGTCGATCCAACTACTTTTCCTTTCATCTCTAACCGAGTTTACTCTTCTTCAGTAATAATTTAGTCTCTCTGCGTAATGCTCTAAATGAATTGCACAATAGGCAGATGAAAGCTTTACTATATGAAGAAGGAGTTTCTCATGTACAAACCTCGGACTGAAATGATCCCTCTCTTGCATGCTTGACTTAGCTTGTCTCCACTTCAGATGGAAAACACAAGTTATCCATAACAAACCCATGCCAGGATACATAAGAGGTTTAGCCTTGACTCGCTTGACCTAACTTGGTTTCTCAACATCTGATATGGAAAAGCATGTCACCCCAACAACAAGTCAGCTGAGGGAGAAAATGCAAAGACAGAGGTAGTTACAGACAGCCACCTGTCAATAGTGAGATGGAAAAGGGCCAGTTCAAGGAGTACACCATTTCCAATGAGCAGTGAGGAAGTGAGAGTGGAGAACAAATGGGGTATTGATTTGGATGCTGAAAGGTGGTAAGAATAAGAGAGTGCCTTTGATTATTAATTGATGAGCCCATTATGCCTGTCAAGGGAGGAAACTGTCTGAGGAATCCAATTCTGCTTGGTATCAGAGGATAAGCCAATTTCAGCAAGAGAGTCATTTGTGGTATTTAGATGAATGAGCTTCATTTTACCCCTCGTTGCCTTGTCTATATCTAAATCGCTCCTTAATTGACTTCCTGATCGATCACCAACTGCATGCTAGAGCGAAGGCGGGCCTTTTTAATGATATAACAGGAATTCCCAAACTCAGCAGTAAATATAAGTAGTATTCTAGCCAGCTTTTAGGAGCATCAGGTTGATGAAGCCGGCATTAAGTAAAAAGGATCACTAGTTTTATTTCCTGTTTTGCTGAAGTCTAGTATGACCTTCCCACTGCACTCAGTAGTCATCTTTGGTCGGTTGACAATAGATCTTCAATAACCCAACATCCCCTTCCAACAACTGAATTATCTGCTACTCAGCTTTTAATTGCTCACTAAAGTCATTTAAGCTCTCCACTCAGATAATTGATTCCCTCTTCCATGGTCATTCTAAGGTTAAAGGAATGCTGACAGGGCAGCAGCATGAGTAATACAGCCCCAAAATTAGCTGGTTTTGTGCTTTAGTATTTTATTGATTAAAATACTTCATTAAATGGGCACCTGCAGCTTCCATGGGTATCTCTGAATCTCCTCATGGATGAGGTCAATTAAAAAGGACCCAAACTCTAGACGTTTCTCGTACACGTGTCACGGCTTCCTGGCAGAAGAAGCACAGGTGTGACTGGTCACATGACCGATGACTCACATGCAAGTGTTTCAGTGAGCTGCAGAGACCTCATTAAGATGATCACACCTGTGTTTGACGAGCCAGAGTACTGCAACAAGCAGGGACCTTCCTCTTCATCACCTTGTGAGTAAAAAGAATATCTGACAAATGAATGATGAAGCTCTGCTGCTATAGAGTATCTTAGTACTGCAAGAAAAGAAAAAAACGTATCTTTTGTAAAAAAAGTTGCCTTAGCAACTCTTGTCGGAGATTACATTTCAATCCAATTCAGAAAGGTTCCCAGTATTTTCCTCATACTGTAGGAATGTATGTCCATTAGGGCTGTCCCCAGACCCGGCGCCAGAACAAATCTAAAGGGAGGGCATATGATTTTCATGGGAGGGCACACAAAACCGTCATGTGCTGCGGGCCTGCGGCACAATATATATCAAACAGCAAGACCAACAGCATTGCGCAAAGACGCACACGTATCGCAAATACATACACAAATAAAGGGCAACATAGAAACCACTTTTGAAACATTGTGTGCGTGGCAGCCGGAGAGAATGTCTCCTGGGGTGATTCCGGTGCGCCGTGCATGGGACTTCCGTACCAGACGTTTGTAACAGTTGAGGAGTATTAGATCACCATCAACTAAATATTATTGCGACAGGTATGGCTGCGTCGCTGAGCAGTAGCTCAGGATCCTGAGAGAACTAGCAGAGGTTCTAAGCATTAGGGTAGTGTTGGTTGGGGGAGTAAGTGAGACAGTACAGGTCGATATGATGTGAATGCATTGTCAGTTACAGTGCGTTCTATGAGGTTATTTGCAGTGACACGGACTTAAAAACCGAGCGCACTGGTTCCCAGTAGTGAGTTTCTGACTTCCCCTGTGCTTATCGGTGCTCTGTTTGATGGCGCGACTCCCGTGCACACACACACACAGCTCACTCTCTCGACAAGAACATCAGAGGAATACCCGTCAACTCACGACTCTCGGTTCCTTTTAATGCTCCTTGTGAAATCGTCCTCTCTATTCTTGTCCCTCCTGTTTTAAATGCGTTGGGTAGGGTAGTGTTGCGAAATGTGGAACTAGCTGGTAGATTTCTGAACGACTACCAGTAGCGGTTTTAAACATTGAACTGTAACGATGAGGAGTTTAATTTGTTGTCGGGTAGTCACTCAGGAGCTCTTGCGGCTTTGAGTTTCCGTTGCAGACAATACTCTCGTAAATTTGTGAGTTTTAGCGAGTTTTCATTTACTTCCGACTGTATCTTTGTTAGAGAGTAATGAGGCCGACGGGTTAAAGCGTTTACATATGGTCAAACTGTAAAATTTTTACATGTTTGAAGTACAATGTGAGTGGTAGTTTTGTATGACCACCTGACGTATTGAAAATTCAGATTTAGAGGAGTTGTAAATTGAGTACCTTAGTGTAAGAAGGGTAGAAATGAAAGGGACAGACCGATCTGTGTTTACTAAACTGCGCGAAAGTAGAACAAGTTGTACTTGAAGGTGATTGGACGACATTGCGCGAATTGGCTTATAAGCGGGGGTACCGGGTTAAATGCCGGCTAATGGTCACATGCACCGACAAATCAGACTAA